GCCTCACGGGGACTTGTATGGCTTTTGCTAGAGTTAGGACCGTAACACCTTTAAACACGGTGCCTTTTTTGTTTTGGAGACTGGTCCAGGCTAGCCCCTAATTCTCTTTGTAGCAGGACGGCGTTGAACTCCTGATCGCCCGCTTCAACCTCCCGAGTATCACAGACGTTCTCTGCCATGCCCCCGGCTCAAAGGGCAGGAGGTGGGAAGCTCCTGTGTCCAGCAATTTAAGTCAGTCATAGTCATGGCTCCCCCACATAGATAGTGGTGAATCCCTAGGATTTTGTTTTCTAGTGATTTTCTGTCTTAGAGTGTGTAAATACAGTCTGATGTTCATGCAGCAATCATACCAACAAATGTTCGTTCCTGGTTAGGTGTCTCGCCATTGTGTTTATTCCGTCAGCAAGTATTTATTGGTGGGCTCCTATGGGTGAGAGATCCAAGCCAAGTATTTCAGTCATTCATTCAAGTGCGATCTTTCTAAGTCTGAGATGGGCCTCCCACTGGGGGGGAACTTTTTTTTTAAATATTTATTTATTATGTATACAATATTCTGTCTATGTGTATGCCTGCATGCCAGAAGAGGGCACCAGACCCCATTACCGATGGTTGTGAGCCACCATGTGGTTGCTGGGAATTGAACTCAGGACCTTTGGAAGAGCAGGCAATGCTCTTAACCTCTGAGCCATCTCTCCAGCCCCTGGAGGGGAACTTTTGTGTTTGTAGACATTCCCCAGACATCAGGTGTCTTGCAGTGACCTGGGGAAGATATTGGGAATTTCATTCACTCAGATGTTCACTATCCAACCTGGGCTACATAGGGAGTTCCAGGGTAGACAGAGCTATATAGTGAGACCCTGGTTTTTTGTTTTGTTTTGTTTTGTTTTGTTGTTTGGGTTTTTCAAGACAGGGTTTCTCTGTAGCCTTGGCAGTCGCGGAACTCGCTCTGTAGACCAGGTTGGCCTCAAACTCCCAGAGATCCACCTGCCTCTGCCTCCCAACCAAGTGCTGGGATTAAAGGTGTGCACCATCACCACCCGTTTTGTTTTTGTTTTGTTTTTAATGTTCAGTTTTGTGTGTATAAGCTTTGCCAGTGTATGCCTGTGCATCTCTGCTTGGCATTCGTACCTTGGCATTTATATCCAGTTCAGGTCCCCTGGAACTGGCGTTCCAGATGGTTGTGAGCCACCACCGTGGGTGCTGGGAATCAAACCCCATCTTCTGCAAGAGGTTCCAACCATTGGGCCATCTGTCGATCCTCACTAAAACCTCTAGACATCTGCAGTTATGACCTTGTTTGGGTCCCTCCCCAGAATATGGAAACCAAGTAGTCTTCATTGTGTTTCTCCAGGCCTGGCCTTAGGTCCCCAGCTCTGGGCCACACGTTCCATGGCCACCCTGAACCAGATGCACCGCTTAGGCCGCCCAAAGGAACCCCCTAAGCGTCTGGGTCCCACAGAGGGCCGGCCGCAGTTGAAGGGTGTGGTGTTACGCACATTCATCAGAAAGCCGAAGAAACCCAACTCTGCCAACCGCAAGTGCTGCCGAGTGCGCCTCAGCACAGGCAGAGAGGCTGTCTGCTTCATCCCCGGGGAGGGCCACACCCTGCAGGAGCACCATGTGGTCCTCGTGGAGGGCGGTCGGACCCAAGACCTGCCTGGGGTTAAACTCAAAGTTGTGAGGGGCAAGTATGACTGTGGCCACGTGCAGAAGAAGTGACCGTAATTGACAGTGGTCAGGCACTGGTTCCCCGGAAACCACTTCTTGCTCTAGGGACCGCTAGTCTTGGACTCAAATCTTGCTCCGACTCATCAAGACTGCTATAAATCTGCCAGCGTTCTGGAGGTGAACTGGAAGGAAGCGCCCTTCTGCCCACTCCCTTGGCGCGTGTGTTCAGTCCACAGGTGGGAGCTCATTGCTGGGTGGGAGTTGAATAAACACCTGCAGCTTATGGTGTTGCCCTTCGTGCACTGCCTCGTCCTGGCTGTGATGACAAATACCCATCCCTGGAGCCCAGTTCTCTCTTCCGGAAGAAAGTTCACTGACAGAGGGGCTGTTCTAGGTACTAACGATTATTAGCCAAATGTTCCACATGCTTAGTGCATGTATGTGTGGTGGTAATGGTGTGGGTTCTTGCAGCATTGAGGTGTGCAGGCCCTGTGGAAGCCTGGCCCACATGTGGCCATGTGCCAGATAACAGTAAGGCTGATACTGGAAGGGCGTTGAAATGGTTAAATTCTTAGTGATGGCGCATGGGGAGAGCCTTTCTTAGAAGAGGTGCAAGGCGGGGGGTATGTGCCTCCGATTCTTGCCTAGGTGCTCTTATTTATTCTGGAGGGTGGAGGAACAGCCAGCCAGTGCTCTTAGCCACTGAGCCATCTCTCCAGCCCCTGGGAGCCCCTTACCTCTGGCCTTCAGTTTCCTGCCTTGAATAGTGGCATCAGTTGTAATTTGGCTTTTAATAATCACGGGCATGGCCATGACAGTTTTAAGCTGTGGGAGATATGCTCACATTATTAGGCTCTGGAATTATTAGGCACACACACACACACACACACTCACACACCTGGGGCAAGGCATTCAAATGAACCTTGACAGCTGGACTCCATGGCTCACACCTGTAATTCTAGTACTGTAGAGGCCGAGGCAGGAGGATTGCTTTGAGTTTGAGACCAGTCTGAGCTGTGGAGTGAGTCTTTGAAGAAGGAAAAACAAAGCAAAACCTCAACTGACCCGGATCCTGGGAGTTTGTCACTAATACTTAGCGCGAACACAGCCTCTTGACGGCCTCCAATTGTGCACACGTGGCCACATGTACATGGATCAGGGCTGGAGCCAGACATGAGCACAATTTGCAGACAGACTTCCTAAGTCTCATATGTTCTTGATGGAAGCAGAATCCCTCATAGCCCAGGCCAGCTTGGAACTCCCTGTGCAGCTGAGAATGCCCTTGAGCTCCTGGCCCTTCTTCCCCCACCTCCCAAGTGCTGGCATTATAGGCATGAATCATCATGCCCAGTCTTACGTGATGCTGGGGATGGACACATGGGGCCTCTCACATGCTGGCCAAGTGTTCCACCACTGAGCTGTGACCTCTGCTTCAGCACCAGTTTGTGTTTTGTTTTTGTTTTTCTGGATTAAAATTGTGTGAGTGCAGCTGTGCTTGGAGGCCAGAGGTGTTGGATCCCCCAGGAGTTGGAGGTATGTGTTGTGAGCTTCCTGATGTCGGTGTTGGCAACCCAACATGTCTGACCACTGCGTCATCTGCCAGCTCCTTTAACACCACCTGTTTTGTTTTTTATATTAATTTATTTCTATTTTCTGTGCATTGATATTTTGCCTGTATGTATGGCTGTGAAGGTGAAGGATCGCCTGAAACTGGAGTTGCAGACAGTTGTGAGCTGCCACGTGGTGCTGGGAACTGAACCCAGGTCCTCTGGAAGAGCAGCAGTGCACTTACCCGCTGAGCCATCTCTCCAGCCCTTTAACACCAGTTTTATTGGGCAGTTGAGAGGATTTAGAGCAGGTGCTAGGGGAGCCTCCCCCATAGCCTGTCCTCTGCCAGGCGACTCTGTAGGAGGGGGAGTGCTTTAGAGAGGAGGATGTTACCTGGCAGGAGGAGTGGGGTCTCTGAGAACTGATGAGAACTGAGAACTAGCCTGGCAAAGGTGAGGGTGGTAAAGACATTGTCCCCAGGTGGAACTAAGACTCCTCAGAACATCACGGTTTCCTTGCAGGCATGTGCTGGTTTCAAGGACAGACGCCCTAGCTGACCTCTGTCCCCTGCTAGCAATCAACCCATCCCCTAATGTGCAGGTGAGACAATGTCCGGGACTAGAGGCTCAGTGACTGCAGGTGGCTGCCAACAAGCCTGATGACCTGAGCTTGATCCCCTGGATCCACGTTTAAAGGAGAGAACCTACACCTGCAAGTTGTGCTCTGATCTCCCCACATGTGATTCTCAACCTGTGGGTTGTGACCCCTTTGAGGTTGAATGACCCTTTCACAAGGGTCGCTTAAGTCCACCAGAAAACACAGATATTTCCATTACCATTCATAATAGTAGCAAAATTACAGTTATGAAGTAGCAACAAAATAATTTTTTTTTTAGGGCTGGAGAGATGGCTCAGTGGTTAAGAGCACTCACTGCTCTTCCAGAGGTCCTGAGTTCAATTCCCAGCAACCACATGGTGGTTCACAACCATCTGTAATGAGATCTGGTACCCTCTTCTGGCATGCAGGCATACATGGAGGCAGAATGCTGTATACATAATAAATACATAATTTAAAAAAAATATTTTTTTTAGTTATTAACTGATTGGCCCATTAGCTCAGGCTGCTTATTAACTCTTACACCTTATATTAGCCCATTATTCTTATCTGTGTTAGCCATGTGGCTCGGTACCTTATTCAGCGAGGCAGTCACATCTTGCTTCTTCTGTGGCTGGGCCAGGACTGCCGAAAGCCGCAACGAAATAATTTTATTGTTGGGGATCACCACAAGATGAGGAACTTTGTTCAGGGGTCACAGTATTAGGAAGCTTGAGAACCACTGGTCTACAGGAACTAAAGAGACCATTGTGCCTCTTTTCAGAGAACTCGGGTCAGTTCCCAGCACCCACACTGACTCACAGCCATCTCCAGTTCTTCCTGTGGGTGCCTGCACTCATGTGCACGAACCCACACACTGACACACAATTAAGTTTTTTTTTTTAAAAGTCATTGTCTCCTTATAAGTAGCTTTCTCTTTTTATTATAATTCTAAGATTGGTCCATTGGATGTTTTGTTTTTTGACAGGGTCTCACGTACCTCAGGCTGGTCTGGAATTCAGCTGAGGATGACTTTGAACTCTTGATCCTCCTGCCTTGGATTTGATGCGTGTGCTATCAGGTCTGACTCAGCCTGTTTTTGTTTCTGTTTTTATTTTTTACACAGTTTACCCACTGACATCTGTACATGAAGCAGTTCTCAGGCTTCGTAACTTAGAGATGTCTGTCAGTTTATGGTGGCTCCTGCTTGAGGAGAGAAGGAAGCCGGAAACAAGCTGGTTAGGTCTCTGGTTTGTCACAGCAGGAGGACCGTGATGCTGAAACAGCAAGTATGTAGGGGAGTCACATAGGATCCCCCCTTTTTGTAGTGTAGCCGGAGGCTGCAAAGCCACCTTTGACTTTAACACCATCCAGGAGAAGGCAGTGTGTCCTGGAAGTCCCAAAGGGCTGACCATCTAGGACAGACGAATCCTGACCCACACACTAGAGCAGGCCACAGTGACACCGTAGTGTCCCACCCAGGAATGTATGTCTCTTCCATACTGTTCGAGAGACACATACCGGATGCCCTTGCCAAAGTCAACGAAGACATGAGAGACCTGTGGGGGAGAGAGTGACGGAGTGAGGCTGGTGCCCCTCTTCCTCCACCTCAGCAGGATCCCCGAGCACCAGTGGCATCTGACCATACTCTAGGTGCTGGGAGCACAGCAGTGAAAGAAGGGGCTAGATGCTGAAGACTGGTATTAGGGAGAGTGGTGGGCATTCTCCAGGAGGGAGGCAGGTATGAACAGGTATGAGGAGGTGAAGATATGAAAGGAGAGATGAGAAGGACCGGGAGCTACGTGAGGTTCTGGAGAAAAGAGCCTTGCAGATGGTGAACCGTCAGTGCCAAGATCCTGAGGTCAGGGTGCCTGCAACAGACCAAGGGAGAAGTAGGAGATGGGCTCAGCTAGGTAATGAGCCCCAAGACTGGCACCCTTTCCCAATTTTATCTTCATCCGTTTGTTATTGGTTGATTGAAAGGGATTCTATAGAGCCCTGGCTAGTCTCAGACTCAGAGATCCACCTGCCTTTGCTGGAATTAAAGGCCTGCGCCACCACTTATTTGAGACAGGTAGCTCAACTTGACCTAGAACTCACTGAAACGAAGAATGATGGAGGAGGGTTATCTGTCTATTGTGTTATTTTCATTGGTCAATAAAGAGACTGCCTTGGCCCTTGATAGGACAGAAAATTAGGTAGGCGGAGTAAACAGAACAAAATGCTGGGAAGAGGGCTATGAGCCAGACGCCATGGAGCCAGCCACCAGGTCAGACATGATGAATCTTTTCCGGTAAGCCACCACCTCGTGGTGCTACAGATTATTAGAAATGGGTTAATATCAAGATATGAGAGTTAGTCAGTAACTAACTCTCTAGAGATAATGGGCCAGGCAGTGCTTAAATGAATACAATTTGTGTGTTGTTATTTCTGGGACTAAGCTAGCCGTGCGGGAGCCGGGTGAGGCGAAAAGCAGGCCTGCCCGCAGCTCCTCACTACAGAAGAAGACTTTGAACTCCTGAGCCTTCTGCCTCAGCCTCTCAAGTGCTGTGATTTGAAGTGTGCACCATCAGGCCAGGTTCCTTCATGCCGTTGTGAGACTTTAGGCCAGTCACCCCCTCTGTGGCTCAGTTTCTCAACTCTAGGATAGTAACAGGGCAAGGACTTTGGTTCATGCCTTTAACAGTACCTTGAACATAGTAGCTGCTCAGTAAATGCTCTAATAAAATGATTAATCAGTAAGCCTCTTAGAGCAGGGTCTGGATGTACTGTAGTACGGCCTTGATCATTGGTAGCTAATATCACAGACCCCATCAATGAAACCAGAAACCCAGCAGGGTGACTGTTGGGCGCAGCAGCTTGGAGTGGACCAGGGCTGAGTGGAGATTCCGAACTCACTGATGGACTGGGCTGGGTGAGGCAGAGAACTTGACCACTTCATTTTCATATTCATCTAGTAGGCGGACCTGAAGCCTGTAGATGCAGCCACAGTTCTCCCGGGTGCCCCACCTGCCAGGTGGCAGTGTGTCCTCAGGTCCCTGCCACCCAGCTAGCTCTCTGGGTTGGGAGGAAGGAGGCTGAGGGCTAAGTGTTCCTGCACCTGAACCAAGGTCCTATCCACTTGCACAGCATCTGGTGTGTCTGGGCACTACAAGATGGGCCTAGGTGCTGGGGTGGAGCTAAGTCACGGGGGTGGAGCGAGGCTTGGAAGACTGTTGCTACTTTGGGGGGGTGGGTTGGAACTACAGTGCTCCAGGGAGGAGCCATGCCCAGGCTGAAATCGTTGACCTGGAGAAGGAACCAGCGCCCAAGAGAAGAGACCAAATGCATTTCAAAAGGCTCTTGTGCCTCCATCTAGAGTTCTTAGGTCAGTGTTGCCAACTTGTCAGAAGCCTTGACTATCCACAGGATTTTAGGGCTGGCGCTGAGTGGAATGAGAGCATGGTGCCAGTCAGTGGGCTCATGTGCACAACCCATGCCTGCTTGCTTGGGAAGGGGCTTGGGATGCAACAAAGTTCTCCCCTCCCTAGCTCCGCAGCTGTATCTCCCAAGAAAGGGAGCCCGACCCAGTGGGCTGATGGGGGTGAGACTGAGAGCTATCCCTGCAGCCCACTCCAGCCACATTGCTGTGGCTCTGGGCAGCCCGGCCAGTCTTTGCTCCCCAGTCAGCTATGCCAATCTCAATCTGGGCACTGTCCAGCAGCTCCTGCCACACCCCTTCCATCACCAGGTCTACAAGTTGCCTCTTGAAGCACTGTCTGGAAGGGAGATGCTGGGGATGAGACACAGTCTTAAAACCACTTCTGGGGCTGGAGAGATGGCTCAGAGGTTAAGAGCACTGGCTGCTCTTCCAGAGGTCCTGAGTTCAATTCCCAGCAACCACATGGTGGTTCACAACCATCTATAATGAGATCTGGGGCCCTCTTCTGGTGTGCAAGCATACATGCAGGCAGAACACTGTTTACATAATGAATGAATAAATATTTTTAAAAAAAAAAAAAAAACACTTCCTCCGTGAAGCCTCTCCTGATCATCCTGCTTAAAGTAGCTGCTCAGGTTTGTCTTTTGGGACAAGAAGGCATATGGTGGACGATGCATCTCCCGTCACACTATTCCCTTCCCCATTTCCATCTTGCTACGCCTCCAAGAGTTTTGATCTTCATGCTAGATCCCTTATTCCTGATGCTGGTGGAGACCAGATTATGTGTATAAATAAGGCAACTCACTAGACAGCTGAGCTGGGGGTTCTGGGGCCCAAAAGATAACACAGAAGCTTGTTAGTGAAATGAGCTGTGTCAGGACAAACCTTGGTATGCATGGGAACTTTGTAAATGACAGAGGAAGTGTACGTTTGGTGGTGTGGATCTGTATTGCCAATACTTGGGAAGTGGCAGCAGAAGGATCAGGAATTCAAGGCCAACCTCACCTACACATGAGTTCAAAGTCAGCCTGGTCTATATGAGATGCTGCCTTGGGAGAAAAAAAAAATCAGACATTCTGGAGCCAGGTTATCTGGGTTCAAATTCTAACCTATTTATTTATTTATTTATTTATTTTGAGACAATACCTCACTATGTAGATCTGAACTGTTCTAGAACTTATTATGTAGATCAGGCTGACCTTAAACTCACAGAGATCTGCCTGCCTCTGCTTTGAGAGTGCTAGGATTAAAGGCATGTGTGAGTATTCCCAACCCACAAATATTATTAGATATTAGTTCTCCTTTATGTTCTAGTTTCTCATAAATGGGGTAAAGAGAAAGACTTAACAGATTATAACAGCAGGGACATGGTTCAGTGGAAGCATGCTTTGCCTACCATTCCTGAAGACCTAGCTTTCATTTCTAATATCACAAAGACCACTAGCACCGAAATCAAAACAATGACAAGAGTCAGATGTGATGTAGTAGCATACACTTGGAGTCCAGCATGCTGGAGGTTAGCAGTTAAGTTTATCCTCTGCTACAAATCAAGTAGAGGCCACTCTGGCCTACAGAAGACCCTATCTCTAAACCAGGGTTAGGGAGATGGCTCAGTCGGTAAAGTGCTTACCTTGCACGAAGACCTGAATTCCATCCCAATAACCTTATAAAAACCCCAGAGTGCCAGCACCAGGGGCTCTGATGCCCTCTTCTGGTCTCCTTAGGCACCTGCATTCACAAGCACAGCACACCTCTCCACATATACTCCTGATTAAAAAAAATTAAAATATTTGTTGAATGAAGAACGAAGGAAGGAGGGAAGGGGAGGGTGAAAGTAGGGTGAGCAGCCTGAAGTAGGTCCTTCCCCCTCTTTGGACCCTCACCCAAGGCATCAGGGAGCACTCACTGAAAAAAGTCATGAAGCAGGTCTGGGAGGGAGGCCCTGGAACGGCTGTCAGATTCTTTTCCATGGCCCAGCTGTTCCCTTTGTGCTCCGCCTCCCAGCCTCTGAAGCCCTCTGTAGAAACCACGTGGCAGAATAAAAGCATTCGCTCGCACCCTGTAGGGGCAGAGGCCTCCCGTTCGACCCTGCTCATCAGCTATACTCTCCAGTACACTTCAATCTAGGGCGTCTTACTGAACCCATCTTTCAAGTTCCTGTATCCTGACGTCACCCAACCAGCTTCTCATTTCGGCTTTCTCTGATGCACTGGGTCTTAGAGTACCTCGATCCCACCTTTCTGCGCCTCCAATTTTTAGCCTTGCCCCGCCCACCACAGGTTAGCACATTCATCTTAATGTTTTATGCAACTCCTCACTTCGGGCCCCTCCCTCTAGGGCACGCCCCCTTGACCCGGATTAGCTCCCCTAGCTGTCACTCAGTCCCGTCCCCTGCCTGGGTCTCCCGGGTTTTAGGCTCCGCCTTCTAAGCGGTAGAATCTTCTAGGCCCCGCCCACAGGCCATACTCTCCAGGCCCCTGAATCTGATTCTCCTCCTATGCTCTTTCCAAACCAGTAGCGTCCTTTGCACCTTCGAGCTGCGTCCAGGCCATTCCATCTCTACCCTCCTGAAGTTCGCACCCGCAGATCTCAGTCATGGAGCAGCGGGCCCACTGCCCCTTTTTCTCCTTTACTCTCTCCAGTGTCTCGGAGTTCCACAACTCTTCCAGCCCCTCCCCCCTCCGTGGCCTCCAATCCTATGCTCCTACTGCCTTCGCACTGCCCCTCCCTCCCTCTGACTGATCATCAAAGGCCTTACATGCACTCTTCACCTTCTAACACCTAGCATTGTTTGAATTTCCATTCTGAGTTGCCCTCTGTGCCTGCACCCACGGAACACTACAGTCTTACTTGGAGCCTCTCTTCTCTACGAGGCTGACCCCTATCACTCTTCAGTACTTCCTGGGAATCAGATTCTCATGCTCACTCATTATTTTCTCCCTCCTCCCCCTTCCTCCTTCCCCTTCTCTTCCCTGTGGAGCCCATACTGTTGTCCTTTGACCCAGGATCCATCTCCATCTCGCAAGAGTTAGTCATGGCCATGCCATTTTTGTAAAGCTCCTCCATCTTGGTTAAACAAGGACAGTTCCCCAAACTGAAGTAATACCGTCCCTAGAACCAGAGTGATTGGTTTCCCTAAATTATTTTTGCTTGTTTGATTTTGGTTTTGTTTTTGTTTTTTTTTTTTCATAACAGGGTCTCACTGTATAGTCCTGGATAGCCTGGAACTCCCCAAGTAGACCAGACTGGCCTTGAACTTAGAGATCCACCTGCCTTTGCCGGGATTCAAGATGTGTGCTACCACACCTGGCTGTTTCTCTAGACTCCTGACTCCCCTACCCCACTGACCCCACTCCACCCCGATGGCTGACCTTGAGGTAATCTTTTGGATCACCTGGTTATTTCTAACTGACTCTCATGGAACCCCTACATTCTATATTGACACAAATCAGAAAAGGCAGGTTACAAATCTTAAAATTTAAGTAAAGTGAATCAAAGCCCTTATGATTCTGTGAATGTCAGAATTATATGCTATTCTCACGATACTAAAGGATTTTAAAGAACATAGTTACCAATTCACAATATGCAGAAAGAGTTGTTTTGTATATTGAAACCAATGAATTTATACCAGATGATACAGAATTGACTTTATCATTTATTCAGGTATAAGATACAATCAGGAAGAGGAATCATTCCATATACATAACACATTCAATCCCATATGGATCTGCCAGGTCCTCTAGCACAAAGTAATCAATAATTGATTGGAAATGTACTGAAGGCCTCAGAATTTCATAAAATTATCATGTCAATAGCAAAGGTTTAAAAAAGACATTTCTATTATAAGGAAATGTCATATTTGTTCTTTATACAACCAAACATCACTACCTGCAGGAAGTAGCCCAAAGGGTATTCAAAGGAATGAAATCTAGGTGAATATGTTCCATTTTGTGGACTTTGGAAAACTAAAATATATACACCACACCATTGATACCTATTCAGGTTTTCAATGGGCAACTACATTGAGTTCTGAAAAGTCTGATTCAGTAATCACACATTTACTAGAAGTTTATGGCCATCATGGGTATACCTGCACAAATAAAGATAGATAATGCTCCAGAATATGTCTCTAAGAAAATGAAACAGTTTTTTTTTGCTTATTCTAATATGAAGCTTATTACAGGTATACCATACAATCCTATAGTCCAGGTAGTTATAGAAAGATCAAATTGAACTCTCAAGGGTATGATAAATAAACAGAAAGGAATGATAAATACCCCTAGAAACAGACTGCATAATGCTTTATTAACTTTGAATTTTCTAAACGCTGATGAGAAAGGAACAACAGCTATGGAGAGGCATTGGATAGTTAAACAAAACAAAACAAAACAAAACCCTATGGGATTAAATTAGCTGATATACTTTAAAGATGTGCTGACCTCAGAATGAAAACCAGGACATGTGTTACATTGGGAAAGGGGTTTTGCTTTTGTTTCCACAGGAGAAGAAAAGCTATGGATACCATCAAATTAATAAAGATTTGATTTGAACAAGAGACACCTCTTAATTAGAAGAGATGTTAGTTCATCAAATGCATGGTTCCTTAATACAAACTAACCTATAAAGCTAACAAATGCTTTTCCTTTGTCAGATACAACTTGCCAAAAGAGATCTCCCCAAAGTTAGGACTGGGGAAGGGTTTTGTTTCTGTCTTTTCAGGAGAATAAAGGCATCCAGCTAAGGAATCTGAAGACCACTGGACAAATGAGATATCTGAAGAAAAAGGACAAATTATCCAGAAAAAATATCTCAAGAAAAGGAGTAAATTGGTCTATTGATATATCACATTTCCAACAGGATAAAACTTCATAAGTCTTCCCAAGTGTTTGTTCCTGCTGTTCTCTACAGACATACAATGAAAATGGTCTTTTTGTAGTTCTAGTTCAAGTAAAGATTAAAGTTGACTTTGGAGTTGGAGTGTGGCTCTTCCGCTCTGTAAACCCAAGCATGCTTATTAAAGTGAAATTCAAAATCTATGTCTCATGTCAGAAGAGCCACCTAGTGTGAACAGAAGAAAAACAAATATTTAAGAACTGTTTTATTGCTACCAATCTCATAATCCTTTGGTTTTATATTGGTCCTATGATAGTTTTTCATAAGACCTAAGATTAATATATTTTTAAACTTTTTGTCATGATATTAATGGTCATATAGGGCACTAACTAATTCTAGAAAAAGGTTTCATCCACCTTCCTTACATGATTTTGGGTTTGAGTCTCTATCAGTTTTCTGCAGTGAACCATGAGCATGCCTAACAGCAACCTCTGGAGTCCCCACAAGGAGGATGGAGCCCTACAACGATGAATCCCCCAGGACTATGATAACACCACTAAACTGAAAAACACCACCTAAAAATCAGCTTTGGACTACAACTGCTCAAAAACAATTTTGAGGTGTCTAGCTGAGATGATCCAGCCTAACAGACTACTCTAGCCAGGAATAGAGACAAGTCCTGCATTTCCCAAAGACTGTTCAACAAATAACACACCTACCTCTCCCAGGACTTGAAAATTAACCAAAAACTTTTCTTTTCAGTATCCTCTAAAGATACCATCACCTCCAGAAAGCAAGAAGTAAATTTAAGAATACAATGCCCACATTCCTAAGAGGTGGGGTGGGTGGTTTTTAGTTGTTCAATGGATTATGGATATTTGTCATTGTTTGTAGGGGTTGGTTACAAGTTGGTTACAGTCAGGAGGAAAATTGAACAAAGGAGATTTAATTCAGACTTGTTGTTCTGAAAAGAAAAAATGAGGATACAAATGTGTAGGATTAAAGGTTACAATTTACTCTGAAAAGAAAAAAGGGAGGTTATAGATACAATAAGATAGGAAAGTAGATTGTTGAATCTATCTCTAGAAAGCAACTACTAGTTTTAAATGTTTTATATGGATTAGACTTTTATATACTGTATATTAATATTGTACATTGATACAAATTTGGGATTAATTTTGTTAAAACATACCGTACATTTATGTCTACTCTTGTTCAAGATATAGCACCTATACAGCTCATTTAACATGTGCACTGCAAATTTCTAGTCTTTGAAAATTATTATTATCAACTATTTAAGGTAATAAGGAAATGCAGGTTAATAGTTGATCACCTATGATAATCAAACTTGTAGTCACATTAGGTATGTTTTCAAAGTTAAATAGACAGGTCATCTTCAAATACTTCAGAGATCTGTAGAATATGGCATTTAAGATGTTTTAATAACATAGGTTCTTCTTTTATGACAATGAAACATGTCTGTTCCTGGCAGCACCAATCTACTTCAGAGATGATGATGGGCATCAAATAAAAGAAACTCCACATGGTGTTTCTTTGTAACAAAAGTAAGCCACTGAGAAGAGAGTGCCCTTGTCCCAACTGCTGACACAATCAGGACACAAAAGAGAGTGAGTGCCAAACATTGTCAAGACAAGGCACAGCAGCCCCTTCAGAATATCCTGCTTAACAGAAAAGTCTGTTGAATATGCTAGGCCTATGGGCCGAAGATGGATGTCCCAATGTTGTAGAAGAACTTTGAGTAATTGTCCAGGCAGCCAGTTGTTTTTGTCATTTCTCACATTTTTTTGGAAGTCACTTGCATGCACTTCATGCTTATTCGGTTAATATTATTTCCTTCTTGTGTCTCTGAGGAAGTTGAAGACCAGATAGTTATAGATACAATTTTCCTTGTTTACCAGACACAGAAAGCAAGTTATGATAGAAAGTAAATTAGGTACAAGACTTTGAACTCACAAGATAGGATAGATATGGAGTATTTTCTCTGAATTTGTCAAATGCAAATGGACTAGACACTGTGGATGTATTTATTGCCTGTATATAATGTAGATTCTTTTTTTAAGATTTATTTATTATGTACACAGTGTTGTCTGTCTGTCTGTATGCTTACTGGCGAGAAGATGGCACTAGAGCTCATTACAGGTGGCTGTGAGCCACTATGTGGTTGCTGGGAATTTAACTCAGGACCTTTGGAAGAGCAGTCATTGCTCTTAATCTCTGAGCCGTCTCTCCAG